GTCCTCCAGGCAGATGTGCAAAGGTTTCAAGCACCACTTTTTTAGGGGTCAAGTGAGTGCCTCTTCTCTTTGCTGCCCTGCCTGTATAGATATGCTGGGCAAACTATGAAACACTCCCTGCAAGGGACCCCTGTTGTGCACAGAGGAACACTAGCTTGACTTGGCAGCATCTTCAAAGAGATAGCAGAAGGGAATGTTGTAGCCCCTGTGAAGAGGAAGTCCCAGAGAGGATTTAGATTTGAGATTTCTTCCCTTGGAAAGAGAGAAAAGGGCCTTTCAACATCATGGAAGGTGGGGCACAGAAGTCCTCAGGGAGGAAAGTGAAGCAAGGCCAAAGGAAGTCCTATAAAAGTGCTATAAAAATCAGCAGATGGATGTGCATCAAATTCAGCATTTCCAACACTGAAGCCATCATATCAGTAGCTGCAGATGCAGAATGGCGAGTTGTAGCAATACAGATGCCAGTCACAGAGGAGGGAACGTTTTAATTCTTCTTGCATGGCAATAAATTCTAGGAAGAAGTTTGCACACACGCAATCTGCCATTCAGTTTAAGTGAATCATTTCCTTTGACAGGATGGCCTCTGCCAACCAGCTGGCTTTGGGAACATGCTTTTCACGAAGTTTGGGTGTCCCAGGTGCACTGCTTGAAAGGTTGCGTTCTGCCCTCTAGCAACAACTGAGTGAACATCCTTGACAGTCCCGAGAGTACATGGCTTTGCGCAATGCGTCTCTTGCAAAATAATGATTTAAGGAATGCAGTGTTTCCTTGGGATTAAGCTGAAGATATTTACAGTCAGGGGGGAAAAGAGAGGACTGTCCCCAAAAGCAGAGCAAGTGGGAGAGAAAGAAATCAGTTTATTGTGGTATGTTCAACACATTTCACACATGAAACCTTTCTTCAAGGGCAACTAAAATAAGCATGTATTCAGTAATTCTGAAAATGCAATGGGGAGAGGATGTAGCTTAGTGGTTGAGCATCTGCTTTGCATGCAGAAGGTCCCAGGTTCAATCCCCTGAATCGCCAGTTGAAAGGATCAGGCAGCAGATGATGGGAAAGACCTCTGCCAGAGATCCGCTGTCAATCCAAGTAGACACTGCTGACCTATGAGGATAAATCATCTGACCTGGTATAAGGCAGCTTCCTGTGTATACCCTTTAAAGTCAAACATAGTCTGTTGCAATCTTCATATATATTATAGTATTGCAGATTGAGCACAATTTTATCCATGTTTGCGCAGAAGTAACCCTGGAATGTGTCATTTGGTGTAGCTTTTTCTCTTATCAGGAGATAGATTTGCATAGGAATGAATTCCTATGAAATCCAAGGTCTTTGATGCCATAGGATAGGACTGTACTTCTCTAATGAATTATTCCTAAGTAAATATTAAAATTCTTTAAAAGTAATAAATAAAACTAACTCATGATAATATGTTGTTGTTGCCTCGTTTAAATTTCACACCTGGGATTGTGCCTGTCTAGAACATCCTAAAACATCCTGAGACGTCTCCATGATTATTACACTAAAAGATGTTAAAGTATGTTTTTATGCATCCTCGTCCATTCACCAGCTTGTTATGTTTTGAAAGGCTTTTTCTAGTGGCCTCACCTGCATAAAACCTATTGCATGGGCATCAATGACATAAAAATTGTGGAAACTACTGCAAGTGGCAAATTGTCTAAAGCACAAACACAAATTCTCAATTGGATTCTCAAAATTAACTTAGGAGAAACACACAAGAGGAACAATCTTGTGATAATGCAGCCTCAAGTAATGTTGGTTGTTCTGGCAGTTGACAGGCTTGTGCTCTGCAGTCAGCCAATCAGTCCTTAATATTATGAGTCTTTTTACGAGCAATAATGGGCTCTTCAGATCACTTCCAACAAATCTATGTTCTTCCACAGAGCTCTGTTGGTACAATTAAACATGAGATGCTGTGTCCTTTGATCTGACCACAATGGAGTTAGAAGTATATTGTTTCTATCTTAGTGTGCACTTCCTCTAGGTCAGTGGTGGAGAACCCACGTGTAATTATGACCACCAGGCTCCCTATTTGGCCCATGAAGCTGTTTCAGCCAAGCCACACCCACTGCCCCACACCTGACATCACATATGATGCCTTCCGTAAGGTCTATTGCAGGCATAGGCAAACTTGGCCCTCCAGATGTTTTGGGACTACAACTCCCATGATCCCTAGCTAACAGGGCCAGTGGTCAGAGATGATGGGAATTGTAGTCCCAAAACATCTGGAGGGCTGAGTTTGCCTATGCCTGGTCTATTGTGGGGCAGATAAAGATGCAGCTGAGCTGCAAAGTGCAAAGGCAACTGTGCAAAGATCTGCGCACCCAACTTTGCAAGCTCCAGTGATCAGCTGATCACTGGGGCTTTGCTAGCTTTCTCAAGCTGTGATGATCAGCTGGTCACTGGGGGTTGCAAATTGCTATCCACCAGGCTTGGCAAACCCCAAACTTCAGCTGATTGTTGGGGATTGTGAGGCATTATGGGGAGGGCTTGTGAAGCCTTGATGATCAGTTGATTGCTCCTGACCACCTGTCAACCCTGGACCATGAGGGGTGTCTGTATATATCTATTTTCCTACCCCTCCTCTACCATCACTGGATAACTTTTGGCATTAAGCAGTAATCTGAAGGGCTCAGATTTCCCTTCAGTCACGGATAGAATCTGTCCACCTGTTAAGGTAAGCCAACATTCTGAGGTTGCAGAACTGTTGCATCTTATCTCATGAGTGTCACCCCATTTAGCAATTTTTGCACCCCATTACAAAACCACCGTAAACTGTTTCCACGGGGGTGGGTTTTTATGGGGAAGAGGGAATGTGCCCCTATTGCCAAGGGCTCTGAGCCAATATTCCCTTGCCCCAATGTCGGTGTTTCTGTGGCATGTGCATCCCCATCCATATTCTACCCCAACTTGTCGTGAGGAGAGCTGGACCAAAGCAAAGATACTGGAGCCTTGGCCAGGACTGTGTATAGTGTTGGGATACTGCCAGGGAGATAAAGTCCATCATGGCCCCCAAGCCGGCTGCCGGACGATCCATCAATCTCCCGTAGACACTCAGTATCACCAATTAGCGACATGAGCTCCAGAACATTCTAGAGCCGATGCACACTCTTTATCAGCAGATAATGCACAGCAGAAGTCGCACTCAGGAGAGCATTATTTACAAGTTTTATTCAGCGTTGATCAGAACAAAGAAAAACATGACTGCCTGCATCAGTGTCTCCAGACACAGAGAGAGAAACAAAAGCAATAGGAAACATAAACATCCTGTGAACAGGAAATACGCAGACTCTGTGACTCTCAAAGCCTGCTCCCTTTTAAGGTGGAACGGAAATATCCTAGTAAGGCAGTGAACACTGATTTCATTGCCTGGGTAACGGAGTGTGTGTCTTCACCCCCCAAAATGGTTGCAAACAGGCATGAAAACCTATGCAAATGAAAGAAGGGTGGATTGGGAACAGGTGGCCATGGTAAGCCAAATTATAGGGTGGACATGATTGAACCCACATATTTGTGGAAGACAATTGCTGGGCTTTTGAGGCTAAACAAAATTACCTTTCTGCCACAACCTGCTCACATTGAGCAGGAGATACAGTTTGAGGTTCATCTGCCTTTCTCCTGTTTTGAAATTTAATTTACCTACCTTGCCTTTGCTGTAACCTGTTTCACTTTCCATGAGATTTCCTGAATATTACTGCAGGAACTGCACAAGTTTGATACCTTTATATGGGGGGGGGGGACCTGCCAGAGGAAAGCAAAGCCCTGTGCAAAACCTGAGCCCAATTGAATATAAAGTAGATGGGTTTTCCCTAAAACGCAACTGGATAGCTCAGTTCTACAGTTTTGCAAACACACCTCGGAAAATACTGACAACGTAAACCTCAAGTTAAAACTCAGCAAAATGAAATAACACATTAGGCAGTAAGCAATGCACTCATTCTGTTAGTGCAAGGCGTTAACACTTGTGCAACAGAACTTTCCTTCCCGCCTCCTACTGTACATGCAGAAATCCTGGTGCTGACGGAACATTCATGAAGTGTTACTTTGAATACAACCCAGTATCTTTACTCTCAGCACACATTTAAATACACATCCTGAATGAAAGCAGATATTGAAACTTATACTCATTGGTTTACTTTCATCACACATTAAATAAGTGAACATCTTGGTCAGATATAAACATCTATACATTTCTCATTTGGATTTTCAAAATTGCCAGGTTTGAATGCATTCCATTTTCTATAAATGCATTTTTCAAAAGCTTCTTTTCCCAGCTACCATTGCAACAGATCTATTTTCAAAGCACAATTTATTCTTACTATTACTATTTATTCTTACTATTCTTACTATTATTTGTATTCATATTATTTTATCCCATTTATAAATCACTTTCCATAAAATAGCTTGAAATATCAGCAATAAAAATAATGAAAAACAATTAAGTGCACCTTTAAATTATGGAAAGCTTTTCCCCCTGCACTAGGTAGTTGTCATTCAACTCCATCTCTTCTTATGCCATTGTGTGGCGTTTGATATGTAGTATTTAACTTAAACAAGCCAATAACTGCTGAATAAAGTTTGCAAACCGAGACAGGCTTTGTATTCCAACCCCTCAGTCTTAAACTGGCCTGATAAAAATCAGAAACTTGTCAGTCTTTAGGATTTTTTAAATAAAATTGGGATCGGGTGGGGGACTAAATTTAGCCATCGTTGCCTCTCCCTGGGCCTGCTGACCCTGAACCAAGTGACTGTAGCTGTGCTAACAAGAGACCCATTGTCCCTTTCATTAATTGAACTCACAGAGGCAGGTAAATCTTTAAGCAAGATGAATGGGCAGCATTTTTTAAAAGTAAAATAATTCACTAGAATTTGGGGTGCATTTCTCTTTAATTAGATGAGTACCAAGTCAGAGGCCTTGTCAAACACCCTGCATTACCTTTATGATGTCAGAATGAAGCCAGGGCATCACAGAGCGGCAGGTGAAGCTAGGCAAATACGACACACTTTTCTCTTGCAGTCTTTTCTCCAGATGAAAAAAGTCATTACCACAATGATACTCCTAATTATACTGTCATTAGGGTACTGCTGCAGTGCATGCAGCCGGCTTGCTTAGGCAAACGGATAGAATGTGGCATGCAGAAGCAGGCCGCCTTTAACTGCTTTGCAGTAAACAAAACTGCCCTTCCAGTTTAACCAGTTAGCCCTTGTTTGACGTGGCACCTTTTTAAAGGGTCCACCTTATTTCTGCGATAGTTGTTTTGAACTGTTTCTGACTTTGTGTTTTAATTCTTGTAACCCACCTCAAAGGGCAGGTAATTAAATTAATAATAATAATAATAATAATAAGCAATTTTCTTAATAGTACTGGACTTGAACACAAGAAACAGTACTTTAAGACAATAGGACAGATTTGTAGTGTACCATACCCTCCAATATTTCTTGAGTGAAAATAGGGACATTTTATTTATTTATTTATTATACTATTTATTATACTATTTAGGCCCTGCCCATCTGACTGGGTTGCCCCAGCCATTCTGGGTGGCTTCCAACATATATAAAATCATAATAAAACATTAAAGATTTAAAAACTTTCCTATAGAGGGCTGCCTTCAGATGGCTCAGGAGTCAGATAGCTTCATACCCTCCAAAATTTCTCTGATTAAAAATAGGGTTAGGGAAATGTGGGACATTCCAGCATCAAAACAGAAACCAGGACAGCTTCTGTAAATCCAGGACTGTCCCTGGGAAATGGGGACATATGGAGGGTCTAGTGTATCTGTCACATGTCATTCATTAAGGCCTCTTCCCCTCACTATCTGTGAGGTGCCCATGCCTCATCTGCTAGATGTAAGTATACTGAGTGGATCAATAATTTTGTCGTTCTGAGGCTCAAAGGGTTCTGAGACTGTACTGAATCAACAACAATCTCAGAAGTCTGGTCCATGTGCTTTGTTTTTGAAGGTGTAGCTTGGCTGCCAGGTCCTACTTTGCCATGGATGTTCCTCTATTTGGTGGAAGCTTGATTTGAAGATCAAGAACCTTAAGATGGGAGAGGAGGTCCCTTGAAGTGACCATCAACAGTTCGCACCTGGACAGCAGACTGAGAAGGCATCTGCTAGCAGTCTTCTCCACTATAAGGAGATGCAGTTGTTTCAAAATGTATAGCTAGCTATACATATCATTCAACATGTGGAAATTTAAGGCAAATCTGTGTCCTCTTTTTGGGGGGGGTGACACATTTTCTTTATTTTTTGGTGATTCATAAGTGGTCACATTTTGTAATATTCCTGTTTATTTTTTCTTTCATACTGAATTAACTGCTTTAAAAAAGTATAATGTTTATGAGTTTGAAGTACCAACCCCCCCAAAAATAAACCCCACCCTAGGCAACATATGAAACACATCAAAGTCAGGTCTTGCGCATTGGGCTTTATGAACTAATTTAGAGAAAGTGCCATAAGTACAACTAAAAATAAAAATAGACCTGGGAGAGCAGGCAAAATTTTTTAGTTATTTAAATGCTGAAATGGTCCTGTTGTAATACAATTAAATAATAATGTTTTCCTCTCCTGTGGTTTCCCTATATGGTAACAGGCACTTTAAGACAAGGCTGCAATCCTGTCCACACTTACCTGGGAGTAAGGCCCATTGAACTCAATAAAGAGACTTGCAAAGTTTTGTGCCCTAATTCTCCTGATTTTGCAGTTTTGTTCATTTAGAGCTTATCAACTGAAGAGCAGTTCTTTAAAAAAACACAAACCTGGTACCTGTGTTTCATTACTTAAAATAATATACAGAGTATCATTGTTTGGTAACTTTGTCCTATCCCAGTTATGAAATAAAGGAGGAGGGGCACGTTGACATTTTACCTGGAGTATAACTTGAGAGCTAAAAACTATGGCTACTCACCAAAACCCCTCTATCTTGGAGCTCTTTTGCAGTACAAGTTAATTAACTGGATTTAGATATTTGCAAGATGATATATTTAATGGGATTACGGCTCATATAATGTTCTCTGTGACTGATTTGGAATCTAAGCTGAAGGAACAGAATACTGAGTTTCCAGCTCTTTGAGAGTTAATGTTGTGTTGAAGAAAAGTACAATTTGAACCTCATTGTTCATGAATAGCTTAAGTTATTCAAGTGAAATGGAGCTGGGTCTCTACAAGGGCTATGCCAAGCAGATGCATAAACGCAAGGATGCAGGCTCTGACATTCCTGCCGCCGCTCAAAGTACAGATATACCCACACCTGAACTCCTGGCAAGTTCAAGGCAATTGTGTACCTCATGAAAATATAATGGCCCATTATTCAGGGTCTGTCTCCCAAGTGGGATCAGTTCAGGGCTATGGTCTACAGGTTGACAGATAAACATTCGTTTGTTTGGGATGTTTATACCATGGCTCTAACCCTATATAGCCATAACATGGCATATCATTATGGCATTTTAAGACTTGAGCATTGTAATGTTTATCCAGTTGTAATTATTCTAATAGACCTGATTGGAAAATTAAATAGTACCTGACTCATGGAAGATCATAAGCACATGCACTCATGCATGTCCAGCAAGTTCCTTACACAGAACAGAAGCAAAGTTCTTTGGATAATAAATTTTTGCATTAAGTAGAAAAAAAGTTAAAGTCCGTTTAATGGCAGACAGAAAGGGAGAGAATAAGCTACAAATGAATACACTCCTGCATGGTTTCTCTCCTTCCCATAATGCTTAGCTCCTGCTGCCATCCCAATGCACAATGACATGTCTTTTACCAACATGAATTAACAAAATAACCAGGGAATGACGTGAACTAAGCCTATGAGAACAGCCACTATAATCATGTAAAAGGAATCAGGAGATCAACATAAATGCTTATTAACTGGACAGCAGTATGTTCTTTTAGAGGTGTACGACCCAAAGTGGATCCTGTCATGATATCTCACTCGCCATAAGTTACGTACACAATCCAAACTTTCACAAAAACCCTTTATGGCAACCCAGTCCTTCCTTAATGACCAGTTCATTTTGGAAATCAGGGACATGCTGGGCAGTGATTATGAAACTTGTTTTTTAAAAAAATTTGTTTTGCAAATATAACAAAAAGTGGAGGGGGGACATGATCAGCTGATATTAACAATGAAAATAACACACACACACACTTAAATATAAGCAGTCCAGATGGATATCAAAATGAGATTGACATCCAAATAAGATGTACATTCAAACATAGAAAAGACAGTGAGAACTTCAGACCACTGAATAGTAGCTGGTGAGTCTTTATCCTTCCATCCTTGAGGTATATGTTTCCTTGCAACCATATGGGCTCACAGTATCCACTTTTGTTGTCCAACTGCTTCTCCCCACACCATAGGAATATAATCTAAAAGTGTTTGATCATACACAAATATCAAGGATTTTTCAAAAACAAAGTTAACATAAACAGTAACTTCCGACTAAGAAGCAGACACAACAGGTAACCAGGAACGCTGCTTTTTCAGAGCTGCTTGGAATTGTTTTAGCAATCCAGTTGCAAACTTCGAGCATCAAGCCCTTTATAAGCATGGAACAAAGCAGGTCAGGCAGCTTCAAGAGGTAGGATGTGGTTTTATGACCCCCGGGCAAAAAGTGTTACTAAGGATTGTCATAAGGTCATCCAACTGAAGGGTGGTATCCAGTGCTGTTCCTCTGCTCTTTGATCCATCAGTGGGTGTCATTCAGCAGAATGGAAAGTGAGGCTACTTTTGCAAATTCACCCTTCACTCTGCAGCCTTCATACCATCTCCCACACCGTTCAAGTCCCTCCCCAACCCTGTGAAGCAGGCAAGGCAGGGAATGGGAGCAAGAGGAGGGAAGGCGAATATATAAATACTGCCTTCCTCCTCCTCCTCCTATTGATGGAAGCCTCAGCTGGATCAAAACGTCTTTAAAGGGAAGTTATGTGATACAACCAAAAGTGCATAATCCCGCTATATAGTTGTACTCCAGGTTCCTCTGATGCCATGTACCAAGTCAGGACAAAATTGCCACCCCTGAAGTGTGAGCTAGTCTTTTTATGGAATAACTGTCATCAGGATTGATCACTGCAAAGGGCTGCCACCGGACACGTGGCTTGTGTGCCAAGGCACCCAAGCCACAAAGTTCCCAGGAGAACAGTAAAACACACTGAGATGGAGTATTTTGGTTTATGGGTTCAAATAGGCCACAACTTTATTGGTTACAGATGTGAGCAGTTTGGCTTAGGCATTGGGGTGAAGCCAGGATATATCTTGACTCCTGCCTGACTGCAGGGAGTCCATGGAAGGGTGAACCACCAATAGGGGGTGCCCTATGACTTACATCAAAGAGGGGCACCCCGAGGGGTCCCCGTAGGAGCTGTGACATGGCCCTAGCCCACATCCAGGCTTCGGACAGTATTCACACCCCAGATCCCTTTAACAGGCTGCAGCTGTCCCCCAGCACAGATGATGCGGCTGGCCGTGATGTAGGGGAGAGGCAGCGTACCTCCACCCCAGACCGGAAAACCCGGCTTCTGGCCACAATGCTGCCCACCAGGTAAAAAATGAGCAGACCTCCTGGCAGCAGGGCTGCTGCCGCTTACCAAGAGGGAAATGGGAAGTATGGAGATGGCAGTGTGCTTGACACTGTGTAGGTACATCGATGGGAGCTCCTGCTTAGTATTAGATCTTTGATGGTTCATCCGCCCATGCAAGCCACCAGTTCATCTTGCAAATAATTTACTTACAGGTAGGAATCAGTTCAAACAAGATGATGATCTGAAATAAATAGAGCCTTCAGTCTATCCTATGTGGTTCCACATTATTTGTTTCATATTGTAGGAATCATACTGATCCTTTCCCCCCTCCAGCAGGAGTTTTGCGCTACATGTTGACACAGGGAATTCTGGCCACATCTGTAATTAGCACATGCAAATCTCTGAGACAACGTGTACAAACAAACAGGACAACAGATTTAATAACTAAAAAGACAGAGTACATCGGCTTGAATTTCAAGAGTGAATAATTTGGGGGAGGGGAGGGGAGATAAAACAAAATAAAACAAGGGCTCTTTCCATGCACTTTTGTCACACTGCGTATTGAAACAGTATAATTTGACAGCTGTGATATTTGGGGAGGTTTTAAACATGACAGGTCACAAAGCTGCATCTGACCAGTGGAGCCATACAAGGTAATACATAGATTAAATCCCCATTAAAACCAGTTTAAAGCAAGGTGTCAAACTCTTTTTGGTTTATTGGTTCTAATTTCTTTTCCATACAGGGAGACTATTCATTGTAGAACCGCAGATGCAAAATAATGGAAAGAAGGCATGCCAAACATCAGCATGGGTCCGGGGCTGGAGCTTTAATAACCAAGCAGCAATCATCTCTCCCTCTGAGCCAGAATACAATTGGATAGCTTAGCTATAACACACAGTAAACCTACCTGACCACTCTAAATTACTGTGAGGTCAGGTGGCTTTTACAGGTAGGCTTCCCCACAGTTCAGCCTGAGAGAAAAAATTTAATTAGTTGTCCAACGAGACAAATACGCACCACAATTTCTCATTCTGGCCAGCCTCTAACTTGTGTTCCCCAGTATCCAGGGTTTTTTTTACATTGTGTTGTAGACCAAGGGAATGTCTTCCTGAAACAGCTGCTGGTTCCCATTTTCCTTGTGTCAACCCCACATTTTTTTTTTAAGGGCCCTGTAGTCCCACACAGGCTCAAGTCACCTGACCATTTCATGACCCAGCTGTCAGTCAATGGCTATAAGCACAACCTGTCACTACTTTTCTGTTTTCCACATGGCTCATCGTGAGTGCAATGCTGTAGCTGACTTGAATGGATGAGGCAAATCCCCACCTGTTTGCCACGCTCACGCATTCAATCCAGGGAGATAAAAATGAATTTAAAAACCACACTTTCTACATGCGGTTGTGCAAATTGGCTGTGAGCAAAGTCAGGTTTTCAATACTGAATTAAACTTTTTGTGTATTTTTGCCCATTAAAGTACCTCTCCCTCCCAACCCCCAGCATAGCCTTCCAAGCAGCTAGTTTCGTGGCAAAGATATTTTCTAATAATGAGGCTCAAAGTCAGCTCCCGGCCCAGGTGAGCACGCACACGTTGACTCATTCAAAGAGGGGCTGAAAAGCTCACATTCAGGATGCATTAATCTGAAAACAAGTGTACTTTTGTGTCTGGGGAGTATTATTTTCATTGCCATCAATTTAGTACACAGATAGTCTGCGATTCTAGACTCGCTATCAGGTTGCCCTGAAGACTGAGACCCCTCACCAGGCCACTCTATTTAATTTAGACTAATCTACAGCTAAGTGAAACTTTGTAACCTCTCTGATTTCCTCCTATCATCATGAACACTCTTATTTCCCCTTCCCCTAAATGACCTACTCTGAGCCTTGCCGGGGGAGCTGGGATCAGGAGGAAGAGATGAGTGACCGCCAGGTAATATTAATGGCTATTTGTGTCTACTGACAGCAATTTAGCCAAAGACAGAAATATTTAACTAGTTCATCCCTGATTGTTTTAATGGTTGTTAATCTGGTTTCACTTTATGCCATTTGCCTCTTAGAGGGAAGAACTCTAAGGTGGGGGAAAATCCACGTCATTACATGAGGCAGTGCTAAACTCAGGCCACACACTATACGCAGACAAGTAACTATAGTATTTGAATGTAAAGGCTCTTCCATACTATTGCTGTTTTGGGGTGGGATTCTACCACACACTTTCAAATGCAGGTTATGCATTTGCAGTTAACTGAGAGTTTCTTGTGCAACAAACTCAATTCTCCCAAAGAGCAGACTTTTGTGACAAGGAACGTGACAGGAAAACACACCAGGAAAGTGCAGACTAGCACTTGCTTTGACACAACTCCATCTGACCTCCCAGAGAAAAAATCAAAATCAATGCTCAGCCAATAGTCAATATCGTTTAATCTCCCTGGAGGCACATCAGGATAAAGGCTTAATAAACAGGTTGCTATAAGACCATTAAAGCCCATTAAAATATTTTCAAACCTTCACCTCCAAAGCGATGAAGATGTGTGCAGAGGTTTGTCTTCCTAAGCTCCATGGGACTTACTCCTAAATAAGTGTGTATAACCTTACAGCTGTAAGTTGCTTTGAAACAAGTATTTTACTTTTAGTTGATTTGTGGCTCAGATGCAGTAAGTAGCCAGTGGACAATGAATTTGGTATTAGGTTTGGTTTCTTTTCCACCCATATGGCTATTGAATAGCATTAAGAAAATTGATTCCAACATCCCATAGATTTTTATCTGCCTTATCATCATCATTATTATTATTATTATTATTAGTAGTAGTAGTAGTAGTAGTAGTGTTTATGGCCCTCTCTTCATTGAATATTTTCAATTCCAAAGTGGGGAACAAAGTAATAAAAATAAACAGAGGAAAACAACAATACACAAAATTTACAGAATCATAAAAAGGTCAAATAACAGCTTAACAATTCTGTCATAGACAAAACTAGAATAACAAAAAATAATAATTCCAATTTAGCCAAATACCTAGGTAAAAACAAACATAACATATTCAAAGAGATTGAAACGGACATCCAAACAGATTTTATTTATTTCATTTAAAATTAAGATAGAAACAGATTAATAGGTGAAATAAGTTTTTACACTTTTCTCAGTGTTCATGTGCATGCCGTATTAATTTCTGTTGTAATTCGATTTGTGCTTCTGATTTTCCTGAATTCATTCCAGAATGAACATGCATTCCTTTCATGCAGATTTGAGTGGCGTGCTCCAGTGGATGCAAAAATGGTCACATGGGCATCACCATTGCTGAGGCAACACTACCTGTTTAGCTGTACTGTGCTGAAACCCTGCAAAGAAATCAAGAGAGTCGCAATAGTGACCTCATAGAATTGTAAGGGACCCCAAGAGTCATCTAGTCCAACCCCTTGCAACGCAGGAATATGCAGCTGGCCCATACAAGGATCAAACCCCATGACCTTGGCCTTATCAGCACCACACTCTAAACAGTTGAGCTAACTTTACCAATGATAACATATTCTCTCTCCACTACCCATTGAAGGTGAGGGCAAAGGGGCTACTTGCACTTGCACTTGCTTATACCATCAGTGATATCAGCTGGAAATATGCCATAACAGGGGAAAAAATACCCTGTCAATTTGATGCCAAAACAACAACAGATCATGAGGGAAATGGCTGCTTACATAAGTGAAAAACTGCACAAAAGAGGACTGTGGGGTTTTTCAGGGAATGCTTGCATAACTGAAAGTAAACATTTATTTTATTTTATTTTATTGTACTCCCAAAAATGTTTCCTGGCAAAAAAATTGACATGGCCCTTGTTTTTATCCTACTTTCTTTGTGTTCACCTTTACAGCTGACAAGATGAAATGGCCTTGTAAAAACTTGATACTGACTGAAGTGATGATGGAAGGAGTTTTCCCATCTTCTACACCATAGTAGATGGCGGGGAGAGTATGTAAATCTGTGAGAGACGCATGAGCGGTGAAGAGGTCAACTAGCATTTTTTATTAAATCTGGCTATGGAATAGTACTGAGTCGAGGGATTCAGTAACTCTTTCAGGTGTCAGAGAACCTGTGTTGATAACACTGGTTTTAACACCACTTACCAACTTACTTCAGTGCATTTATGTGACCTCAGCAGTTGCTCAGCACCTTGCTGGAGTGTGACTTTGATGATGTCAGTTCCAGTTTAGAATCCTTTCTTTCAGCAAGCTCAGATGAACAACTGAGTATGTGCAGTGCTATTTCTCTAGAAAAAGAGGTGCCGAAACTCACCATGGACTCCTTCCTTGTTCTCTTATAATGGCAGTGGGGCCTACCTGAGAGGTGCCGGAACTGAGTTTCAGCAAATTCCAGCTGGAAAAAAGCCCTGAGTGTGTAAGAACCACTTTGAGGCCTGACCACCGCCACCCCATTCATTTGAACAGGCTTTGCATCAGAGCAAATCTCTCTGGATTTTACTCCTCAGTGGTAGGAAGCAGTTAAAAGATAGAAGAACTGAGATAAGGCTTTAAATATGCTTGGAAACCTCATTGTGTGATTTTCCTTGCAGCTAAGAACGCTGTCTTGTTGCACTATGCCAGATGCCTGCAACTGAGTGAAATAAGATGGTGACAGATCTTTTAGGAAGAACCGTTACCCTTCAACAGATTGATGTCTGAGTCAGAACGCTAGCCAGTGTTGGCAGCTGAGCATGTGCAGTAAGGCTTAAGCTACTATTATCTTTGCACCACAATTAGTATTGTGTTAGTAAATATTGTGCACTCGCTATCTTCAGTCTTCTAATGGGGGTGGGCGGGAGGGAGAGGGTGAATATGTAATTTCAAATATCTTTAGCTCTCAGCTTAATTATATAGTCTGTCTGAATGAAAATTAAATTTTACCTAAGCTCAGTAGGTAATGTAGACAACCCAAACCAAAGGATTAGTTTAAAAGTGTTTTAAAATATTATACGAAAGTTTTAATTACATGGGGAGGGAAATCATAAAACTGTCCAGTAATTACAGCATATTGATTCCATTTCCCCCCTTGAAATGCTAAGACCATTTCAACACATGCAGAATCAATAAACATAATTAAAATATGAGCTCATCAAAACAGCAATTAAATGTACTTAACAGCTTTTGTGGCTTTTTCTCCATATGGTTATTGTGGGAGTGTGAATCTGGCTTGCTAGATAAATGTAACAAAATGAAGTGAAAGCCTAGGAAAAGATTACTGCAGTATCATAAGCAAAGACAATAAAGTTTAGCTCTATAATAAGTTCCAATAAATCAAAAGTTGACAAAAGAAGCAATGTATACAATGGTGAAAATGTAAATTCTACTTTATATTTCTGTGAAAGTAACACTCTCAATGACTTTTTTTTTAAAAAAAAGCCAAATCAAATCTCTTTCCCATCATAGAAGCTCTTGCAAACATCACAACATGCAGGTTTATCTACATTCTTTTTGATCATGTGTGCAACTTTGTGTATCTTTGGAAACATTGTGTACACTACGAGAAATTCATTCTAAAATGCTGATGAATGTTCATGAGGCCTTAAAAAAAGAAAAGAAAATCACACACCGATGAGCAGAACTGAACTTAAGAATGGAAAAATGAGAAAAACCTAAACTTACAGATTTGTGCATCCATACCACAGATACCACACCCTTTGCGTTTATTGTCTGCCCCTTTACACCCAAGGACACTAGCAGGGCAGGCATTGCATCTAGCTTTCCTTTCAGGTCCCTCTCCTTCCATGTTTAGTTCCCCAGAACGCCAGGTCATTCCTGCCTCAGTTTTAGCTGAAGGTAGCAACAAGATGCCTTAGGTTTTCCCTGTCGGTGGCTTTGCTTCCTGCCACACCTTTAAGCCACAACTTGCCTCCTCACTTTTATTACATTTCTATACAGTGGTACCTCGGGTTAAGAACTTAATCCATTCTGGAGGTCTGTTCTTAACCTGAAACTGTTCTTAACCTGAAGCACCACTTTAGCTAATGGGGCCTCCCGCTGCCGCCGCGCCGCCGGAGCACGATTTCTGTTCTTATCCTGAACCTGAGGTAATATTTCTGGGTTAGCGGAGTCTGTAACCTGAAGCATGTGTAACCTGAAGCGTATGTAACCCAAGGTACCACTGTAATACCTTTCCTCCGCAGATTTCAAGGTGGCGTGCATCTCCACTCCAGTTTTACCTTCACAAGAACCCTGCGAGATAGTTTAGAATGAGAGGGAGTCACCAGTCTGAGGTCATGCCTAAGCGGGGATCTGAACCCAGATCTCTCCAGCGTTAGTTTATCGCTCTTAACCACTATGCCACACGAGCTCCAGCTTCTCTGCATAGGGCAAGAGAACATCAAGTTGAATCCAGGTAAATTTCCCACTTGGTTTCGCCATCTATCCTCCTCAGCACAAGCCAAACAGCAGTCTAGATCACTTTAATCCACTTCTGATTATATTCTGCAGATTTGGTCCAGGAAGATCTTATATTTTACCAGCTAAGCAAAGTCTTTGGACTTACAGGAAAGGAAGTATATGGCATAAGCACAGCAAGGCTTCAGGCTCCCCCAGCTGGCCCAGATGTACTACTTAGTAGCTTCCTTATGCTTTCTGAACCTTTCTCCCCATTGTTTATTATGATGGTGCTGTCACGATGGAATATATGGTATTAAATTCTAAATCTAGCATGCTACAGTGGCCACATATTTTACCATGTTGTCTTACAGGAGGCAAAATGTCTGGCAATTACATCTGCCTTTTAAAGCAGAAAATTGATTTTAAGAGTGCTGAAATTCAAAACAGACGATTGAGGACAAAAATATCTCTTAGTAATAATAAACCTTTTAATTTTAACCACCCACTCCAATTTTAGTGGAGGAAGCCCACTTGCACCCAAAATTTTGCAGAGACCTAGTGGTTTATGGCTGACTCAGCTACCAGATTGTCCCTAGAGTTTTAGACCACAGCTATTTGCATTCCTGTAATTCACAGCATGTGTAAATAATGAGCTTTTGTGGCAGGATAACTTTGATGGTGATTTTTGGACTCTTTTGCCATTACATTTGGACAAGATTCGAGAAGGTTTTCTTACAAGCAAAAGTGTGACAGAGTATAAGAATGCAGCTCCACACCAGAAGAAGTGAATCTAAGGAAATAATCCACTGTTTCCCCCTTGCATGAGTGATATGGAGCACAAACTGTTTGAGCCACTGATATCCAGTTGCTAATAACTTGCTCATATGTTTTGTGTTGCTTGATTGCGTGTGTAGGTCCCCAGGCCACCCCTCAAATAACTTCACACATAACACGTTGTCAGGGGTTCAGGGAGAGAGGCACAGGGTAGGCAGGAGATGGAGAGCGATGGGGAGGAATTCCAAGCCAGCGAGGAAGAGGATGACAATGACTCAAGAGATTCCATGAGTCTTTCCAGCGAATCAGAGGATTCCCAGAAGGGGCGCCGGTGGTCAAGGCCAGCGGAGCCCCAGGGGGGAAGTGTCAGGAGCAGGGTGCCAGCGGAGGATCCCAAAGTGGCAGCTGGGCGTCAGGACCAGCCTCCCCACCAGAGTGCAGCGAAGGGGGTGGAGTTTCCAGTGTGTCAGAGGAAGCAGCTCCAGCAGCAGAGAAAGGAGGGGGGGTCAGAGCAAGCCGCCCTCCCGGAAGGGGAGGGGAGCAGTGAAGGGAGTAGTGTAACTGTCAAAAGGAAAGTTAGAGGTTTGGCGCGCGCGCCTAGTTCAAATGTAGAGGCGCGCGGAAGTGCAGGGAGCCCGGAGGAGGGGCCAGGTCCCAAAGCCCGCAGGAGGGGGAAGAGCAGTCTGATTCCGCGTCAGAGGAATCCAGGAGGGGCGAAACCCCAGTGGGCAGAAGGACCCTGCGGAAAAGGAAGGAGAGAAAGAGGTGGAGCAGCGCAAGTCTCTTAAATTGGTGCAGGGGAGGAACTGACTCAGAGGGGACTTCGGCGGTCTAGCGTAAGAGACGTAAGGCTGCGCGCCTAGGATGTCAAGCAAACCATGAACTGCAATAAACACTTTTGTATATAAGAAGACATAGGCGTTGGTCTTTTGTGAGCTAAGACTTGAGGCAGCCTTGACAGTAAGTCCCCTCTCTCAACAAAAAAACCGCAAGAATTTTTTTGCACAGCTCACGAAGTTTGGCAGCAATGACTACTGAGGAGCAGATAGCGTCCCTGCAAAACGCAGTCACCGAGCTCTCCACTGCTGTCGTGGTTTCTCAGAAGACAGTTGCTGAAGCAGAAGCGCGATGCCAGGATCTGCAAGCCAGGTGGGATCGGGCGTGCAGAGAGGGGTTCCCGGGGTCCAGATCAGAGGGAATCGGACTCGGACGGAGGGGGGGCAATTTAGTAGCCCACTTCGATGGGAACCTGAAGCATTATCCCAATTTCAGAGCAGACGTCGTATACGCACTGCATTTGCTTCGAAAAGACTTCAAAGATGAGGAGGAAAAAGTGGGGTTTATCGTGTCTCATCTGCATGGGGAAGCAAGAAACTGGTTACGCAATTTGTGGCGCGAAGATGGTCTTGCACGCAGGGACTCTGATGAATTTCTCAAAGCCATGGACGCTTGCTTCCAATCTACTGTTGACGTTGATGTGGCACGCCAGGAGATGCATGGATTGCGGCAGGGCAAGGCTACAGTGCGTCAGTACCATTCTCGCTTTTTTGCATTGCTGAATGTGCTGGGCTGGGAAAAGGACTCCCTGGCAGTGAGGGACTTGTTTTGGGAAGGGCTTCATGGCTCAGTGAAAGATGAGCTGGCTAGGGAGACAGACCTCAAACCCTAGCAGAAGTCGTGCAGAGGGCACTCACGATAGGGGTGCGCCAAGAAGAACGCCCTTGGCACAGGGAGGAGGGGCGTCACGTCCGCCCACCAGCTAGAGCGCCTCCTTTTCCTTCCAGGGACTTGGAACGTTCAAGCCTTTCGCCTGTGCTGGCAGCGGGGGAAGAACCGATGGAACTGGGTGGTGCAAAGGCTCAGACAGCTGCCGGAGCCTCAGCGTCAGGAGCAGTCAAAGCGAAGCCTCCTAGAGGGACCAGGAAGTGTTACATCTGTGACAGTGCACGGCACATGGCTAAAGAGTGTCCCCAGAGGCTCCAGAAGCACACTGCAGCCTTAGCAACAGTAACAGGGGAAGCTTTCCAAGGGGAGCAGTTTCAGGGAAACGAGAATGCCTGGTTGGAGGGAGAGACGCTGGGGCTCCGCCAGGCAAGTCAGTGAAGCAGTCCCCAGCGCTTTTGCAGCCTACAGACCCCTTACCACCTAAGCCAGTGGTGCAGCTCACTGCTACTCTCCAGCTGCCTAATGGACTCACCCTGGAAGTCCCCATTACGATTGACTCAGGGAGCAACGCAGACTTCGTGGGGGTGCAGTTCGTCAAGCAGCATCGCATAGCGCTACTACCAGCCACGCTGCCTCTGAATGTGGTCACTGTAGATGGCAGGAAGTTGCTGGGTGGGCAAGTGGTACAACAGACGCCACCCATGCTGCTGAAAATTGGGAATCATCGCGAGGTCATCAGTTTCAATGTCACCCAACTGTCAGACACGCCCATAGTGTTAGGCATGAGTTGGCTGGATAGACACAGCCCATCCTTGGCGTGGTACCAGCGGCAGCTCACCTTTGGCTCGTCCTACTGTGCACAACATTGCATCCAGATCGGCCAGGACGAGGAGGGCCAGGAGGAAGGGCAACAGCTGCATCTAGGCATGGTGCAGGCAGTGCCCCACAAGTACAAGGGGTTTTTGGAGGTCTTCTGCGAGAAGGAAGCTGACCAATTACCACCCCACCGGCCCTACGACTGTGCAATTGACCTCTTACCAGGGGCGACGCTGCCGACTGCGAAGCTGTATTCCATGTCTGAAGATGAGATGCAGGAGCTCAGGGAGTTCATAGATCACAATTTGAAGCGGGGATTCATCCGAGAATCCAAGGCAGTGGGGGCAGTCCTGTGTTTTTCGTGAAGAAGAAGGACACGCCCCAAAAACGGCTCATTGTGGACTATAGGGCCATAAACTCGATGACAAAACCCAAGGCTTTCCCCATGCCCAAGATTGACGACCTGCTCGCGACGGTGAGGAAGGGGAGGATCTTCACCAAGTTGGATCTACGCGGAGCCTACAATCTGATACGCATGAGGGAAGGTGACGAGTGGAAGACGGCCATGTTCACACCGCTGGGCACCTATGAATACAGAGTTATGCCGTTTGGTCTCCAAAATGGCTCTCACTGTTTCCAAGCATTCATGCACCACGTGCTAGCAGGACTCCTCTACAAGAAGTGCGTATGCTTTCTCGACGATATTCTGATCTTCTCAGAATCGCAGGAGACTCACGAAAGAGACGTAAAGGAGGTCTTGCAGAGGCTACGGGAGCACAGACTCTATGCCAAGCTGGAGAAGTGCCAGTTCGACGTGACGGAGGTGGATTTCCTGGGCTACCGGCTGTCCGACAAGGGATTAGCCATGGACAGCGCCAAGGTCCGCGCGGTGTTGGACTGGAATAGCCCGCGCAATCGGAAGGAGGTCCAGAGGGGCGTCGGCTTCGCCAACTAGTACCGCCCGTTCATCCGGGGTTTCGCGACAGAGACGGCAGCTATCCCGGACACCCTCAGGTCCACGAAGACAAAGTTCACCTGGACGGACCAGGCGGAGCAGTCCTTCAGGAGACTTAAGAGTCTCTTCGCGTCCGAAGACCAGCTGCTACACGTGAATCCCGGCAGGCCCATGCGGGTTGAGACTGACGCATCTGACAGAGCAGTGGGGGCCGTCCTCTTGCAGGAAGATTCGCAAGAGAACTGGAGGCCCTGCGCTTTCTATTCCCGGAAGCTCAGCAAGTCGGAACAGAACTACACCATCTGGGACAGGGAGTTGTTGGCCATCCACGCGGCTTTCAAGGCGTGGCGGCACTTCCTCATCGGAGCCAAGCACACCGTGCAGGTCCGCACGGACCACAAGAACCTAGAGTATTGGCGCACGGCGAAGCTCCAGAGCCAGAGGCACATGAGATGGGCGGAGTTCTTTGCGGATTTCGATTTCCGGATAGAGTATATCCCGGGAGACAACAACGTCATAGCGGATGCGCTCTCCAGGAAACCGCAGTATCTTGAGGAAGCGGCACCAGTGGCAGCCAGGCACATTTTTGCACCGCAAGCGTGGGCGTGCGCTTCTGCCGCCGTGGACCTGGACGCGGTACGACGCGCGTTACAGACGGATCCGTTTGCACAATCCAAGATGGAGGAGGTGCGAAGAGGGACAGCAAAGGACGGCGAATTCCAGATACGCGACGGCCTGCTGACCCGCAAAGGTGCTCTCTA